GTCTGTATTTTTTAAAGATTTATTTATTTATGCATACAAGTACTAGGTGCAGGCCAGAAGTGCAGGGGGTGGTGGTGAGAGGATTCACCAGAGACAGAGCGGGGAACAGAACAGGCAGACCCATGAAGTACACTGCTGAGGGGAGAGGAGACAGGAGAGGTCTGCTGCGCCATGTGGGTCAGCCCCGTGGCAGAGACCACACTCAGGCTGCAGAGGTGATGAGGTGATGGTGCTGAGACAACCCCCAAGCCACCAGGGAATCCCTCACAAAGGTGCCCAGGCAGCATCTGCTGTCAGGTTTTGCTAGCTTGTTTTTGTAGTTTTACAACAACCAGACCAGCAAAAATGGAAAGGTCTGAAAATATGAAGTGTCCTGTGGATAATGGACGAAAATAAGTGTTCTGCAATGAGAATGTAAATGAGCCCCACTTGGGGAACAATTCACTGTGATGGGTGAAGGACGTGGTGCCCAGGACTATGACTCCCTCCCAGTTGGGCGCCTGAGGGACTCCTGTGCCCTGAGCACCATGAGGCAGGGGCACACCAGCAGAAACAGGACAAAACTAAAACTAGGGCCTCCCTGGTCTCAGCACCCTGAAGCTGTCTGCAGCCCTGCAGCAGGAGTTCCATCCCCAGCCAGGGAGGTGCCCACATGGCGGCAGACCTCCCCTGTCTCGCCTGCTGATCCCCGCAGCAGTGCATTTCACTCAATCCAACTGTTCTGCTCCCCACTCAGTCTCCATGAGTCCTCTCACCCCCCGCACCTCTGGCCTGTACCCTAATTCTTGTATGCATAAATAAATAAATCTTTTAAAAAATTCTCTCAGCTTAAAAAACAAAACAAAACTAAGAGTACACAATAAACTGATGGAAAAAACCCAGAGGTCCGTTACAGAGAGGGTGAGTATGGGCGTTAAGGGTGTTAAGGGCGAACATGGAGTGGACTGTCTGTGGCCCCCTCTTCTATTTAGACAAACCCTAAACATTATCTTGAGCAGCACAAGGGAAATAGCAGGATAAAGGGTACCCACAGCGGGGTTCCATTTCCGTGGGGGGTTGAAAGAACAGAAGAGGAGAGGAAGGCTCAGAGAGCTGGGGGTGGGGGGGCGCGTCAGAAGCAATGGGAAAGTCTTCTTTCTTAAGCCAGTGTCCTTAGCAAAGGTGTTCCTTTTATAATCTCATTTTTAAATATTTATTTATTTTGTAGAAGAGCTGGGGTACAGGCCAGAGGTAAAGGAGGTGAGAGGATTCACCAGAGACAGAGTGGGGAGCAGAACAGGCAAACTGATAAAGTACACTGCTGAGGGGAGCAGCGGTAGAGACAGGAGAGGTCTGCTGCGCCATGTGGGTCACCTCCCTGGCTGGGGATCGAACTCTTGCTGTAGCAGGGATAGCACTGAAACTTAACCCCTAAGCCACCAGAGAGGCCCTCCTTTTATAATCTTAAATGCCTATACATGTGCTCTATATGCAAGGACAACTTACCACGCAGCCCCTGTGCCCCATCTTATGAAGCAGGGACCAGCTTCGGTTCCCGGCATGGGCTGGTAGGCTGAGGTGCTGAGAGGAGAAGGAACCTGTGGGAGGGTGGGGGGCCAGGTGCCATGTCAGCACAGCAGGCGTGAGTGCTTGGCTGCGGCATCAACAGGACAGGGCACCAACCCTGTGCCGTCACAGGGTAGACAAAAAGAAAAAGGAGCCTCAGTAGCGTTCTGGAAAACTGAAGCAGGGAGTTAAGTGTCTTATTGGGGCTTCCAGGAGGGTTTGTTCTGGGAAACTGAGGCAGGGAGTTAGTTAAGTGTCTTATTGGGGCTCCCAGGAGGGTTTGTGTGGAGGTTGCTTTCAGCTCTGCAGGGGGGTGGGGGGAGGAGCCCGGCCAGCTCCCTGATGACAATCACAGACACCCTCTGCTCCGCTAAAAACAAGAAAGGTCCAGTTGGCTCTCTCCTCTCCTCCCTGCTAAACGTTTGAACAGAGCCGACCAGCCCATTGACGTCTCTGTTTCTGCCTCTCCTGGCCCGTCCGGCCGCCCCAAGTCCTCTGGCTCATGTGCCCTTTATCTTAACCCCACACTGAGAGTTAGATGTGTCCCCATCAGGGCTGCTGCTTCAGCTGACGAGTTGGGCACGTGGTCTGTAGAAACACTCATTCCCACCTAGCAGACAGGAGACTGAGGCTAGGACGGGAACCTCTTGATGACCTCTGTACTGACTGTCCCACCTGGCCATCAGTACAGGCCAGCTTCCCAATGTTGCCTCCACTTCTAACTTAGCACCAACAGGAAGAAACCAGAAGTGCCCCCCTCACCAGTCATGGAGGGGAGATCCCCCCCAGCCTCCTAGAGCCAAAGGCGCCACTCCCACTCACCTGCGCCTTCTCCTCGTCCTCTCTGGGGCTCCCCCACCCCCACCTGCCTGTGAGTCTGCCACAAAGGCTGCCACCTTGCCAGGGTGAGCTCTCAACCAGCGGCTTGGCCTGCTCCCATCTGGGTTACTTCCGCTAGGCATGCAAAGCTCTTAGCTTGAGCCCTACCCTGTAATAAGCACCCAGGGCCGCTAGCTCGTGTGCAATGAACTTAGGTTTATCACCTTAATTTATCTTAGGAACCTGGGTGAACCGCATGCGAAAGGTCGCCAGCACCCTGGAAACCCCCCAACAGGAGATGTTCCCTATTACACAGTACCAGGACCTCCCTCCACTTCCAGTAGTACCAGCCCAGGGGAAGGCTTGCTCTTGGGCAAGGAAGAGAGGGGTCCAGACAAAACTAGCAGCAACTGCAAGTCCCAGGCGTCTATAGTTATCAGCAAGGGCAAGGGACGGGGAGGAATTAAAGCAGGAGCAGGAAGGCACAAGAGACTACCGTGATGGTCACGGGCACTTGTGGTGGGGATTTTAGGGGGACAACATCTGAGAGGAGAAAGCAAACTGAACAAAAATGAACAATGGTGTAAAAAATTATATAGAAAAAAAAAAAAAGAAAGGGGTGCAGGCAAATCTGAGTTGCAATCAGATGGCCTTGGGGGTGTGGGCTTCCACTGAGAGCTGATAGTTCCAGCCAGGTCACTCCCCACCCAAGGCCGCTGTGTTCAAACTCTCATTTGGGTGTAAGTTTCTTATGTTCGTTCTAAAAGGAACACACGCCTGTTGTAGGAAAATGCAGTAAAGGGGAGAGAACCCCCTCCCCCGACGCCCACCACAGTTGGGAGTTTTCCCTCTACTGCTTACAAGGTGGAGATTTTGCTGTGTCCACAAGCCCGTGCGCACAATTCCAATTGCAGCACACGACCATCTCCCCTTGTTACTTCAGGCTCCTTGTAAACAGCAGTTGAGAGGCTAGAAATGACTCCATCAGGTGGCTTTCCTGTGGGTTCTAAGAAAACACAGAGCAAGAAGGAACAGACCAGTGCAGCCACCTGCAGGCCAAGGGGTCTCTTCCCTGCTAAGCCACTGCAGGTCTCCCAGGCGCTACCTGGCCCGTTACCCCCACGCACAAGCCCCATGAAATTCCCGTGGACACTCCCCGTGAAAACCCCTCTTGTGGGTTGCTGTCATCATCACCGGCAGTGTGGGCAAGGAAACACCAAATCAACACTTTCTGTGGGGACAGCCAGCAGGGTGAGAGTCCCCCATTCTCCCTGCCTCCCCCACCCCCATAGCCCCAGGCCTGAGCTTCAAGCACAGCCCAGTTCCACCCTGTCTGCTGCATTCATTCAGCTGCAGGAGGCAGAAACCCAAACCCACGCTCTAACCAGATGAAAGTGAATCTTCTCTCACCTAGAACCTTGGTCTGGCAAGAGCAAAGGCTAAGGTTCTAGAAGCCTTGGGTCTGATACCTGAGGGGGAAGCACAGCTCCAGGTCGCAGGTGGCAAGACTTGGCCTGGCGCCCACCTGCTTGGCCCCGCTACAGACCACTGCCCCCCAAACAACCAGTTCCCACCCTCAAGGGAAATGGAAGTGAAAGTGAGCTGGGCTGGGGTGAGCTGTCAGAGCAAGGGGCAAGGGCACTGCTGGTGGGAGAGCCAGTGAGCAAAGCTCATTCGTGGGGAGAGGGGGAAACAGGCACAGAGGCAGCCCAGCACCCCTGGGCTTGGGTTCATTACTCTTGAACCTGGCTGCCACTAAGTCCCACCTGGCAGGGAATGCAGGCAGCTGCTCACTCCTCACTTGGAAGGGACACAAAACCTACGCCAGGAAGGAGGGTGCACAAGGAGGGTGCAGGGGTCATCTGTACCCCAGTACCACTTTTTCCTAAAGCATATCGGGAGCGAATTATCAAGAGAGGCAGCCACTTAAGCCACCTGCTTTGGCCTCAGGACCCCTCAGCTGGAGGTTGCACCACAGCTACACGGTCCTCTTTTCAGCTCTTCTTATCCAGTTCAAACTTCACACCTTTTTGCAACCTTCCCGGATACTCCAGGAACCTTCTGACAGCAT